ATGAGTGAAACTCCGTCTCAAAAAAAAAAAAAAAGAGTTAACATCTTAACAAGCATGAATATTAGCAGTAACAAAATGTTAAGTATAGAGCAATAGTTGAAAATTGATGTTTTAAAAATAATTTATATATAAGAACAGGAAGGCTTGGAGAGTTTAGACTGTTTGCCCACATAGAGACAGCTGGGAGCTAGAAGGGGCATAATGAGAACCTGGATCTGGCTGAACCTGAAACCCAGGCTGGAATGCAGTTGTGTGATCATGGCTCCCTGCAGCCTCAACCTCTTGGGCTCAAGTGATTCTCCTGCCTCAACCTCCAGAGTAGCTGAGATGACTACAGGCTTCTGCCAACACATCCAGATAATGTGTTTTTATTTTTTGTAGAGATGAGGTCTCATTATGTTGCCTAGGCTGATCTCAAACTCCTGGGCTCGTGATCCTCCTGCCTTGGCCACTCAAAGTGTTAGGATTATAGGTGTGAGCCACTGTGCCGAGCCTAAGAATGCTGTTAACATTAACAATCAGCTTTTAAACACACACAAATATCTTATTTTCTTGTTATGAAACAGGGCATTAAAAAAAAAAAACCTAGAAATATAGGTAGGCAAAAGAAAAGAAATTTGGAGAATAAACAGGTATTGTTTTTGTTCTCAGTCTAGAGAAGGAGAAAGTTAATAAACAAGTAAATTAGCAAATATATTGACCACAAATTGAGATATTTGAAACAAAATGTCATTAAAAAGAGAGAAGGCTTTTGGAATATAGAATAATGGAGTGAGGGGGGTGTGGGGGAATATCCTAACTTAGGCAGGGAGGTCAGCAAAGTCCTTGTTGAGGAGGTGACCTTTCTGCTGAAATGAGAATGGAAGTAGTGATGCAAGGAGCTGAGTGTCCAGGCCAGGGTCAGTCAGGGCAGTGTAAAGGATTAGAATGTGTCGTCTCAAAATATGCTGCTTTGGCATATTGATTATTTTGAGATGAAGACAGTTGAGAAATACCTTATGCTCTCTGCCCTTCCCCTTTCTACCTAAAAGCAGAGCATACATTTCCCATAAGAAAAGTACCCTCCCTGTACCAGGAAGAAGAGTAAAACATTCTTATCACTGGAGGTGGAGAGTTGACACTGAGATGAATCTATACAAACAAATCTTACTAAAATAACTTTTATCTTCCATTAATTTCCTTATATAGTCACTGTCCCACAATTCACTGCCTCTAGCCCAAGCCTCTTTTTCCTTTGTCTTGTCACATCACTACAATTTATTGTCCTTTGTTAAAACGGTATATAAGCCCCTAGGTCTAACGGTCCTTTGGATTTTCACTTTTTTCTATGAAGCCTCCCATGTTATATAAAATTATTAATTAATATCAAATAAAATGTGTATACTTTTCCTCCTGATAGTCTGTTTTTCGTCAGTTCAAGCTATAGGTTCCATACTCAGAACCTAAGTGGGCAGGGGAAAAGTCTTTCCTCTTCTATACCAGGAAGGAGGTTGGCATATTTGATATTCTTTCCAGGAGGAGGAAAAAGAGAAGGAAGCCAATGGGGAGACTTGGAGTAAAACAGGGGATGTGGGTGTGTGCAGGACCCCTGCTGTTGTAGGACTTTCTCTTTAGTTCAGCTAAAAATGGGGTTTTTGTCACATGACCATGAGAGATTAGGGTCACAGACATTTTGAAGGGCGAGAAAAATGGAATTTATTGGGCAAAAAGGGAAAAAAAGGGAAACAGGGACTCTCAGCAAAGCAAAAGTCCTTCTAGCCGGCTTCCTGCCTCACAGACTGAATCCAGGTTCCATGCTGGAACAGGAAAGGCCAGGCTTCTCCCACCTATAAATAGTGTGAAATTCCTGAGGTTCCACCCCATCATCTCAGTGTGCAGGCTGGTTCAGGGTTCTGCCAGGGGGCCCTTTTTACTTGACTGTCTCACTGCCACCCACTTTTGTAGGATTTGGAAGAGAGTTGAAACTCTGTCTTATGGGAACATTAATTATTAATGTAATTTAAAAAATGGAGGCCAGGCATGATGGCTCATGCCTGTAATCCTAGCACTTTGGGATACTGAGGTGGGAGGATTGCTTGAGCTTAGGAGTTTAAGAACAGCCTGGAAAACATAGTGAGACCTTGTCTCTATTATTATTTTAAAGAAAAAATATCTTTTAATGGAATAATTCTAGGTAAATGGTGATTTGTAACTTTTCTTAATTGCCAATGTATGCATATTGGGTACTTAGTCTTTTTGGTAGGTCAAGTGTCCCTACCAGCTAACCCTATTATAAATAAGACTGTTAAATAAACAATAACTTTTTTTTTTTTTTTGAGAGAGAGAGTCTCCCTCTGTCACCCAGGCTGGAGTGCAGTGGTGTGAAAGATCACACCACTGGCTCACTGCAACCTTTGCCTACTGATTTCAAATGATTCTCCTGCCTCAACCTCCAGAGTGGCTGGGGTTACAGGTGTGCGCCACCACGCCTGGCTGATTTTTTTTTTTTTTTGTATTTTTAGGAGGCAGGGTTTCACCATGTTGCTCAAGCTGGTCTTGAACTCCTGATCTCAGGTGATCTGCTGGGCTTGGCTTCCCAAAGTGCTGGGATTATAGGCGTGAGCCACTGCACCTGGTCCAACAATAACTGTTTATTGCTAACTAGTCTCTTACTGCCTTCGCAAGACAGAACTAGACTTTCTATTTCTACTAACATGATGTAAATTAGAAAACAGAAAAACTGCCACTTCCTTATATGTGCATCTTTGAAAGTAGTTCCCCTGGGACCGAGTAAAAAAAATGCCCGAAATGGGCATTTCTGTGTCAGGAAAAGATTCTTACTTGTTACTGGCTTGTCTGCTGTTCTTTCTGAAGCCCTGGCAGAGGATAAATCTAATTTGTACACAATGTTAATGTTATGAATTAAACTGTGACACCTTAAAAATCACATTATGTACTTATTCTTATTTTCTTCAGAATCTGACATAACATAGCTCAGTGTTTAGCCAGAATGGTACTCTGGTTTCTCCAAGCACTGATGTTAATGTGCCTCTCTGCCCTGCAGCTGGTGGGTCAGGGGGATTTGGGGAGATACTTTGTTCTCTGCCTCACCGTATGTTCTTTTTGGTCACTGTCACTGTTTTTAGTGGACAGTTTCTGAATGACTACAGGGAATGTGGCTTGTTCCAGTGCTGAGACATGAGTTGCTTTTAGAGTTTTAACATTGAGAATCACAATATCTAGTCCTGCCAAGTCAAACTTCATAGGCTCCAGTGAAAAAATAATGGTTTGAGAATCAAGTACAACAAGAATGCTTTGGCATATTTTCAGTGGTGCTTTATGATGGCCTTATCCAAGACAGAGCAAACAAACAGAACAAGCCAGGGACCACTTTAGACATGATGGGTAATTTTTCATGGTTTATAGAGGTCTCAGAAAAATTCTTTTCAGATTTGTGTTTTGAAAAGCTTTGCTTGATTAAGCATAAGCAAATACACCTCCAGATTCTCACACACCCAATCTGAGAGAAATACCACCTCATTGTCCACCCAGCTTGAATTCCCTGCTTGATGCACTTACAGTAAAACCTAAAATCTGGGATGTGACAGCTGGCTCTAGCTGCAGTCCCATGAGCCAAGAACATTCTATGATTGTGGGGTGTGTGTGTGTGTGTGTGTGTGTGTGTGTGTGTGTGTGTTGTCGTTGTTGGTGGTGGCCTTGCTATCCACTGCAAAATTACGCCAGTCTGAGATTTAGAAGATTTAAGACTGTTACACTGGGCAGTGGATTTTCTGAAATATAAAACAAGGAATCAAAGGAATGCAAGTAGGCTGGGCACAGCGGCTCATGCCTGTAATTCCAGCACTTTGGGAGGCCGAGGCAGGCGGATCACCTGAGGTCGGGAGTTCGATACCAGCCTGACCAACAAGGAGAAACCCCGCCTCTACTAAAAATACAAAATTAGCTGGGCATGGTGGCACATGCCTATAATCCCAGCTACTTGGGAGACTGAGGCAGGAGAATTGCTTGAACCCAGGAGGTGGAGGTTGCAGTGAGCCGAGATCTCGCCATTGCACTTCAGCCTGGGCAACAAGAGCAAAACTCCACCTAAAAAAAAAATACTTGAAGTTTTTACTGGTCTTTGGAATATTAAACACTTTAATACATTTACTCTCAGGAGATTAAGGAATTGAAAGTTTGGTCTCAAATGATAACTGATTTGTAATGGTCCCTGATATCTTTGGTTTCAGGGCAATGGGTGCTAGCTGGGCAGGTCCTGGCTTGAGAGAGAATTAGATGAAGGTCACTGTGCTACTGGGGCTAACAGTGCCTGTGCTGCCCTCAAGAGCTGGGGCCAGAGGCAAGTGGTAGAAGGACCTGATCCAGGCTCTGAGGCCTATTGAAAGGTCCTCGGCAGCCTGTGCAGACCTTTTGTTCCTAGGAATTTCAATTTTTTGGTCCCTTCCCTGAAAAGGAAACTTCTTCTGTGAATATTTATCTTTAGGAAGCAAATTCATGGTGTTGGGATATGTTTCCCAGCCTAATAAGAAGTGCTCCCCCGGCCCCCAGTATTATTTACCTGGTTTCTCATTTCAATTTTGGCCTCCCTTGGTTCCAGATGGTGAAAATACATTTCAGGTATTATAAGATTTGAGGGGCCTGATGAAATAGTAGAGTTTACTGATGTTGTGCTATTAAAAAGAAATAATCTCAATTATCCCACGTTCTGAGCTCAGAAGTCAGTCTAACCTGGGTGTGGCTCATGGCTGTAATCCCAGCACTTTAGGAGGCTGCAGTGGGAGGATCACCTCAGGCCAAGAGTTCAAGACCAGCTTGGGCAACACAGAGAAACTCCCATCTCTAAAAATAATTGAAAAAAAAAATTAGCCGGGCCTGGTGGCATGCACCTGTAGTCCCCACTACTTGAGAGGCTGAGGTGGGAGGATTTCTCTTGAGAAGCTGAGGTGGGAGGATTTTGCTTGAGCTGAGAAGTTCGAGGCTGCAGTGAGCTATGATTGCACCACTGCATTCCTGCCTGGGTGACAGAGAAAGACTCCATCTCTTTAAGTAAATAAATAAATAACTAGAAGTCAGCTTGGATATGTAATTTTTTCAAAGTGCATTGTAGTTACTAGATAGGTAAACTGATGTAATTTTGGTCATGTGTAAACATATTCACTGTTTTGATGGACACCTATCCAAACTATTGTAGACTCCTTTCTTACACCCTGTATACCAAGTGCAGCACTTTCTGAAGGACACTTCTGTGAACTTCAGTTTCTGAAGGTGCAGAAGATGTGGGTTTAGACAGGACACAGCCTCGCGGTGGTCAGAAGCAAGCCTTCTGGAACTAGAGCGCCAAATTCTGGTTCTGCTATTGACTATCCTTGACTTTTGATGTGTTACTTTATTTCTCTGTGATTCAGTTTTACCACCTACAAAATGGGAGTGTGTGGTGGTGATTAGGGTTTGCTTTGCAAACCTTCAACTGCAGGGAGTGTAACTGACTAAGGGCCCCAGCTGGTGTGCTCTAAATCTATCGCTGCGTGGACAGGCTTGCGTGGCTGCTTCTGGCAACTGAATGCATCAGGGATACCAAGGCACACCAACTCCTGGGCCACACAGATCTCCTCTGATTGCTACTTTGGCTTGTGGACTCTTTGGTGGCTTTCCTAATGAAAGCTTTATCTTGTTTCCACCCCATCTTCTCCCCTTGTCTCCTCACTGGGATCAGACTTGCATCATGGCCTGAGGGCTGTCTCGGCCTAAACACCTCTTTCCCTGTTTTCTCTCACTCAGGGATTTCTCCTCAGGCACAGTGGTCAGTTTAGAAACAAACAAGCATCAGGATGGCCAGTTAAATTTGAATTTCAGATAAACAACAAATAGTTTTTTATTATAAATATATTTATACTTTTGGTTTACTTATTTTCCATCTGGAAAAAAATCAGGCCTCTTTATTTCCATTAGGGCACTTGCTTCTTGGAGGACCTGATCTAAAAGTAGGTGCTAATAATTGCACCTACCCCGTAGGTAGAATTAAATGAATAAAAGACATAAAATAACTAAAGCTGGACTTGGCACTTAGTAAGTGCTCAGCAAATTTTAGTTATTATCAAAGGCAGAGGATGTGATCAGTACTGAACAGGGTCTCCTTAGGTTGCTGTGCCTTTGCCCCAGAGGGGAAGGAAAAAAATCTCTTTCTTCTACTCTCCTAGATTTAGTGTCTGGGCTCTTGCAAATTGAACCAACAAAAGACAGATTAACAGGAGAAAAAGATTTATTTAATATGCATATGGGGGCCTCACAGAAATTAAATGAAAACCCCAAAGAGGTGATTGAAGACTTATATAGCATTTTAACAAAGGATGATACATTTGTGGAGAAGTGGAAAAGGGCTTAGAGCTTCTAGGCACAACACCTTGTGGAAAGGGAAATATATGGGGTAACTAATGAAAGATAAGGGTTGTTTCAGTAAGGTTTGTTTATGCAGATTCAAGCCAGTGCATGTTTAGTGATAAGAATTGTTTCTTTTTCCTGGTATGGGAGAGGAAAGTGCCTTCACAGAGAGAAATTTATGCCCTGCTTTTAGGCAGATAGGGGAGGATAAACAGCTTGTTCAGCAGTCTGCTATTTCTCAATTGTCTTCAGCTCAACCCAATCCTTTGCCAAAGTGGCATACTTTGGGGTGGTATATTCTGATCCTGATCATTCCCAAAGGTGTCAGTGGGATTGATTGGCCTCCAGGCCTTGTGCCAGCTGCAGGGAATCCCCCACACTGAGTGGTCTTGTGTTGGTGCTTGCGGGGTGGGTAGAAGTGTGAGTGGTCTCTCAGGTAAGCAGCTCTGTTCTCTTCTGCTGTCTGAGCGAACACTGCTGGGCTCCCTGCCTGTTACTGTTTTTCCTCTGCCTGGCGGCAGCTGTTTCTTATCTCTTCTGTTCCTTTTCTCTTATGATCTTGTTTCTCCTTTGCTTTAGTAGCCTTCATACAAAGAATCAGGCTTAGTCATCAGAAAACCAGAATGCTTTTTTTTTTGGCAAACCTCCAAAAGCTGTGTTCGTAGTTAGTCTTTCTGGCACTTCTGTTTGTAGTTGTTTGATTTACTTTTGCCTTACAAGTTCCTTTATCACCAAGGATGTTTTCTTCTTTCTCCTTTGACTATCAGGTTCTGCAGGAGTCTGGTTGCTTGAGAATTCTCAAGGGTTGAAATCTCGATATTTGAGGTGATGTGAATAAGTTGTATAGAAGGGTAACCCATATCATGGATGTGGGGGAGGCTTGGCTGCCTCCCTTGATGGGATGTGCCCGAGGTTCTTGGGCTCTCACTCATCCAAGAATGGGGAGAGAGTCCTGGCGCAGTGAGCTTACCCTTGATTAAGTATCACGGACCCAAAGAGTTTAGGTAATAGAGAGCGATTTATTTGGCAGAGAGAGAGAGAATGGAGAGAGAGTGAGAGCTCCCATGCTGCCGTGGACGGGAATCTGGAGGGGATATCCCTACAGGAAGAGAGGGAGAGACAGCTCCCACATTGCTGTGGGAGGGGATCCAGAGATGGAGTTGCACAGGTAAGGGAGTAGGGGGATTTTAACCCGGCAGTTACGCCGCTCCGTTCAAGTTCTCCTCCAGTTTAAGGAGCTTTTCCAAACTTCCTCTGGAGTGATTGATCTTCGACTCTGATATTGGATTGGCTGCCTGGCCCAAAATCACAGCCTTCTCCCTTGCAGCTTTCGGCAGGCTTTCTAAACAAAGGAAGCTCACCCGGGCTTTCTCCCCAGCCCACCAGTGAGCGGGAAAGTTAGACAAAGAACTCTTAAGTTCCCAGATGAGACGGGGATGAAGGCATGGCACTGGGAAGTTCTTGCCTTTGAAACCACAGCCCTTGTAGACCCGGGAAGAGAAGTTAACATAGTTCCTCAGAAGTGGGTGGACACTAATGGAACAAAGGAGGAATTTCATGGTTACCTGGGAGAATGAAAAATGTTAAAGCTCAAAACAAAATGCCTTGGGTGTTTGAAATAGATTCTGGAAGTTTGAGTCTTATGTGTTAGGACCAGAGGCATATGAAAAATTCAATAGCAGTGATACATTATTGATTTACATTTTCCTAAAATCCAGAAAACAGTTATCTCAAAATACGGTACGGACATCAATTTTTGTCAGTTAACTTTGCAATGAATTTGTTCCCCCTTAATTGCAGCCTTACGTTGTCAACAAAGAGTCAAACACTGCAAGGTATTTGAAGAGATTTATTCTGAGCCAAATACAAGTGACTAATGGTCTGTGACACAGTCCCAGGAGACCCTGAGAACATATGCCCAAGGTGGTTGGGCTACATCTTGTTTTTGTTTGTTTGTTTTTTGAGACAGAGTCTTACTCTGCTGCCCAGGCTAGAGTGCAGTGGCACAATCTCACCTCACTGCAACCTCCACCTCCTGGGTTCAAATTCTCCTGCATCAACCCGAGCAGCTGGGACTACAGGCACATACCACAATGCCTGGCTAATTTTTGTATTTTTAGTAGGGATGGGCTTTCGTCATGTTGGTCAGGCTGATCTCGAACTCCTGACCTTGGGTGATCAGCCTGCCTTGGCTTCCCAAAGTGTTGGGATTACAGGCGTGAGCTACTGTTCCTGGCCTACAGCTTGGTTTTTTACATTTTAGGGAGGCATAAGGCATCAATCAATACCTGTAGGATGTACACTGGTTCAGTCTGTAAAGGTGGGACAACTTGTTGTGGGGGCTTCTAGGTCATAGGTGGATTTAAAGATTTTCTGATTTAAGACATGGAATCAGTAGAAGGGAGTGTCTGGATTAAGATAAGGAGCTTCAAAGACCAAGGTTCTTATTATGTAGATGAATCTTCCAGGTAGCCCCAGGCTTCAGAGAGAGTAGATTGTAGCTGTTTTTTTTTTCAGGCTCAAAAAGGTACCAGACTCTTAGTTAATTTTCACCTGGATCAGGAAAAAGACCTGGAAAGGGAAAAGGATTCTCTTCAGAAAGTAGATTTTCCCCACAAAAGACAGCTTTGCAGGACTATTTCAAAATATGTCAAAGAAAGATATTTTGGGGTAAAATACCTTGATTTCTTTCAGAGCCTGCTCTCATGTTGATACCTTACTGCTGCAAAGACTCTGTTTTGTCAGTGTTAAGGTCTATTTTAATGTTAATACTGGTCCACTGTGCCTGAATTCCAATGGGAGGTGGGCCTAATGAGGCATGTCTGACAACTTGCTCCATGGCCTGAACTATGTTTTGGGTTTACTTTTTACTTTTATTTTTGAGATGGAGTTTTGCTCTTGTTGCCCAGGGTGGAGTGCAGTGGTGCAATCTTGGCTCACTTCAACCTCTGCCTCCCAATGTCAAGTGATTCTCCTGTCTCAGCCTCCCGAATAGCTGGGATTACAGGTGTTCACCATCACACCTAGCTAATTTTTGTATTTTTAGTAGAGACAGGGTTTCATCACGTTGACCAGGCTAGTCTTGAACTCCTGACCTGGTGATCCATCCTCCCCAGCCTCCCAAAGTGCTGGTATTACAGGCGGGAGCCACCCTGCCCAGCCTGGGTTTACTTTATAATGCCCTTGGCTGAGAGGAGGGGTCTATTCAGTTGGTTAGGGGGTCTCAGAATTTTATTTTTGGTTTGCAACATGGTGATTAAACTTCTTCATACTGATGCAAGTTATTAGTGGCAAAATTGTAATCATAAAGGCTGGTCTTACAACTAAT